TCCGGGGTAGAATAGATCTTCAGCAACCCATGCTTGCCGTAAAAGGCGACTATGCTTGTCGTTAAAGGCGACCAACGGGATCGGGTGGTCAGGCTCGCTGACTTGGTTGATGCATGTCATCGATCCCAATTGCATGGATCGATGCTCATGATATCAATCACTGGATTGTCTGGTCCAGACTCGATTATTTACAGACCGCCGTCATATAGCTGGAATATTTTTGAGTGCGGCGTTAAACATCAAACCTAACCTTAACGAACTAACCCTCGCTATAAAATCAATGGAGATTAAAGACCCGGTGTTGCATATCAGTTACTTTACTAATTGGATGCATGTCAATACACAAGGAATTCTCTTCCAAACGAAAGCACATCAAGTCAGTAGGTGAGGAGAGGTGAAATGGGGTTTAACGTCGCGTCCAAGATTATTGCACTTATACATAGCGACCTGCCCACTGACATACCATGCCGCAGTTTAACATGAATACCCCACTCAGACACAGTATACTAACTCCAGGCCGACCAGTCCTTGGTTCAGCCCCTAAATGCCGAGCGCCAGACAGGGTAGCAACAAGTACCATCTTTTAACGTCTTTTGGTATGACGCGGCCTGGGATCGAACCCCGGACCTTCCGCTCTCGGAGCGGACGCTCTACCACTAGACCACGGAGGCGGCAGTGACATTCGATTTTTGCCATTTTGTGCTAAAGACAGGAAGTGCTAAAACGGGACCCTTCGTTTCTAAATCTTTATTTATTTCAGGGAAAAGGAATTTAAATCTAACCTACCCGGCGCCAATTAGTCAGTGCTTATTGTGTTGTACACTGCTTCGTAACCGGCTCTTCTTGGAGGGCGGGGTTTATTGAGAGGAAATACGGTATATTAACATATTCAGTTTATTTGTGCACTGTTATTTGAATAAAATAACGCGTGTGTCAGGGGAGAGCAACCAGTTTCCATTTTAGCCCTGTTTTCACTTACGATACGGGTGCCACAGTTGTCTAAGCGGTGTTTCATCCCTTAGGCGTGCCAGGATCCTATGATTCGAATATTATCCAGGTTAGAATCCTTGAATAACGTTGGAAAAAAACACATGCTAAAAACACATTCCCAAAACATGACCAGAGCTCCACTATGAATGTAAGGTCACACTTATGACTCGGGTGGCGGATTTGTCAAAGTTGAGTTGCGCCCCTTAGAAGTGCCAGGATCCCATGACTCGAATACGCGGCGGTATTCGAATCTTTGATTCGCGCCGTTTTGTTTGTCAACATCATACTCATGCTCGCTGATAAACGCCCAAGATCTCTTTTATAATTAGGTGAGGTGAGGTTACCTGCTTCCTCCCCATCACTTTACGATATCGTGGTTTTCCAATGACATTATCACCCTTTTTGTCGTGTACTCTATAGTTAAACCTTAGAGTATAGTATTATTTTGTAAAGTTTTAGGGCAAGGGCTTAACGTACATTAAGGGGGCACGGGTGGCCAAATCGTCTAAGGTGCCGCAATTCGCTGTGCAGTTTGTCAGCACCATACCCGTGCTCGTGAGTTTTACCGAAGACCTGCATTACTTAGGGCTTTCCTCCCACATCAAGCTGACACGCCGTGATACATCTGGAATACTGTTAAAAGCGGCGTTGTACCCAACTCACTCACTAACGAACATTACTTCCTGAAGCGCACACATTAACAATGTGCTATGCTGAAACTCACCAACAAAGGTATGGTGCTGACAAACCTAGAAACACAATCAGGGCGAATCTGGGATTCGAACCCACGATCACAAGTTCCTGACACGCCTAGGGACACAGTGAGCTGCGACGCCTTGGACGAGTGGGCCACCCGTCACCAGTGTTCGAAATAAGCACCTGCCCGAAGGCCCGTGGCATGTAGATCTCTTGTTGGACCCGTAGTTTCAAATTTGTTTGGATCCATATTGCCTATAGTAAATTTACGTGTCGATTTATTTGTCACAATATGCTGCTGTTTATCAAATGATGGCATGATGAGTTTAGTCAGGGTCTGCAGCTTCAAAAGTCTGTGGGTCCTGATGGCAGCATGGCACATTTTATTTAAACACTGCCCGTCGTCCTTTCCTTTATAGCTTCAATACGACCTGCATGTTCTCAAGTGAAGTTGCAATGAAATTGCATGAAAAATCATTAAACGGGCTGGTCGAAATTGCTCAGATGATAACTGAAACGTAGGACTTGTTGTTATATGAAAAGGTTATCTACAGAAGTGTTGTTTGTAAAGGTTATCTACAGAAGAGTTGTTTGTAAAGGTTATCTACAGAAGTGTTGTTTGTAAAGGTTATCTACAGAAGTGATGTTTGTAAAGGTTATCTACAGAAGTGTTGTTTGTAAAGATTATCTACAGAAGTGATGTTTGTAAAGGTTATCTACAGAAGTGTTGTTTGTAAAGGTTATCTACAGAAGTGATGTTTGTAAAGGTTATCTACAGAAGTGATGTTTGTAAAGGTTATCTATAGAATTGATGTTTGAAAAGGTTATCTACAGAAGTGATGTTTGAAAAGGTTATCTACAGAAGTGTTGTTTGTGAAGGTTATCTACAGAAGTGATGTTTGTAAAGGTTATCTATAGAAGTGATGTTTGAAAAGGTTATCTACAGAAGTGATGTTTGTAAAGGTTATCTACAGAAGTGATGTTTGAAACGGTTATCTACAGAAGTGTTGTTTGTAAAGGTTATCTACAGAAGTGTTGTTTGGAAAGGTTATCTACAGAAGTGATGTTTGTAAAGGTTATCTACAGAAGTGATGTTTGTAAAGGTTATCTACAGAAGTGATGTTTGTAAAGGTTATCTACAGAAGTGTTGTTTGAAAAGGTTATCTACAGAAGTGATGTTTGTAAAGGTTATCTACAGAAGTGGTGTTTGAAAAGGGTATCAACGTAATTTTTTTAACTTCGCGGTTTCATTGTTCCTCGACTTGCGGCAATAAATTGACAAGTGTTTACCCTTGAATAATCTTGACATAGGGTTCATATTACGTCTTCGAATGGCGTTTAGAAGCGATACACATAAGAGAGAAAACTTAGGTGAAAGAGTAAGCATATACTGCTAAACGCTGTGCTCCTCATAATATAAAAGTTGACATCTAGAAATTCTCTCTCTGACAGTATATTAACTATAAAGTAGCTATATAATTTGTGTTGAATATTCGGTGAGGGGAGAACACTGGGCACCGTCATAATGTTTCACCGAGTCCACAAAGGGATAATCGTGTGATTAATGTCGACAGAGTTAAATCCCTTTGATGACTTTATCTAGAGAAGCGGACATAAAATAATTTGTAAATAATAAGATAAGATAATTTTATTGAAGGAATATTCCAATTAGAAACAGATCCAACATGGCAAAGTCATAATCACGCACGCACGCACGCACGCACGCACGCACGCACGCACGCACGCACGCACGCAAGCACGCACGCGCGCACACATAGCAAAGCAAATACACTTACCTCTGTCAGTTATAGCGATGCTGCTCAGTTAAAAAGTTACCACATAAATAAAAGGCACATATCAACCTACACCGCCAGAATGAGACACCTCGTCGCCAGCACGTATGGCAAGCCGTTTTCACATTTATTACGGAATTACAGATATCTTCAATTGTTTTAAAGATATCTTGAAATGAATTGAAGATATCTTGAATGGAATTGAAGATATCTGGAATGGAATTGAAGATATCTTAAATGCAGATAATTGTAGATATCTGCAATAAAATTTAAGATATCTTCAATTGTTTTAAAGATATCTTGAAATGAATTGAAGATATCTTGAATGGAATTGAAGATATCTTGAAAAGAATTGCTGATATCTTAAATTCGATTATTGATATCAAAATATGATTTAAAGATATCAAAATGTCATGTTCTGTTATGATGTCATTAATTCAATTCCTGATATCTTGAAACTAAATACAGATATCAATAATTAATTATTGATATCTTCAATTGTTGCCATTATTAAAGATGTTACATTAATAATGTTACTTAAATTAGATAACTGATATCAATAATTGATATAAAGATATCATCAAAAGTATTAATGATATCTTTAATTGGATGTTTGATATCAGTAACGGTCAGAATTCATGATATCTTGAATTGAATTAAAGATATCTCTAATTGAATTAAAGATATCTGTAATGCATTTGTGGATATGTATAACTTATTTCAAGATATCTTGAATTGAATTTAAGATATCTTGAATTTATTTCTAATATATTTATGTATTGTAGGATGGTAATTGTTTAATGATATCTTAAATACATTTAGAGATATCACAAACTAATTTGTTGATATCACCGTAACATTTTAAGATATCAGTAATTGTATTATGGATATCAGAAATGAATTTAAGATATCTTTAATTATTTTTTGATATCTTAAAAACATTATTGATATCTTTAAATAAAATACCGATATCTTTAAAACAATTGAAAATATCTGTAATTCCGTAATAAATGTGAAAACGGCTTGCCATAAGCACGTACGTTGTGTACCCCTCTGACAAGTGCAAATTGGCATGGCTCCCTCCCATGGCCCAAAGATATGAACACACAATGCCATTTAGAAAGTGGTCGAATGTAACAAATGTTATATTTAGGTTAACATTTTCTTAGTAAAGTACAGATTCTAGTGCTTTTGAGTGAGGCACCTAATCGCCACTTTAGGTGTAGCATTTGTAACATTTGACCACTTTCTAAATGGCATGGGTGTTCATATGTTTCATGTTAAATTACAAGCTTAACAAACATGTCCGGTAGCCCTGTTTGGAAGTGTGCACACACGTTATTCCATTCCTAACAATATTCAAAACGAAACATTACATTAAACACGCCTAAAACATCGATTTGTAACGAAAGGTTTCCGTTTTTGCCGGAAACGTACGGAAACACCCGAGCCGGCAAGCGTACATGATAGTCGGCACATCGTACAAACGGCCTTGAACTTCAACCTGATATTACAATATGATCAAGATGAGAAGGCGGAGACTCGTGTGACTGAAAAGTTCATCACGAGCTGGCGCAACTGTCGTAAATCAGTTCGCAGCGTCGCACACGGATCGGATGAATTATTCGAAATATTCACAGCAGGTAAGAATGGCAATATATTATGAATGCAACCTGAGTTTAATTTTGATGGCAGAAGTTGTATTATAATTGTATTCAATATATTATCTTTGTGTAACATTTGAAGCAGATCGTAATATATATGACCACTGAGCCGGGATCTCCAAACAAGAGCCTCGGATTTCGCTCAATGTTTACATTTATGTTATTTGATTTACTCAGTAGGCATTTCGTATATTGAATCATGATATATCGTCTGGTGCCAAGCTGGTTCCTCTAAGACATTTGCAATGACGCAATTCACTAATCAGTCAAAACGGGTGTCTTTTTATGTAGTGTTTTTGAACAAAAAAACATTCAGTATCGGTTACTATAATATACTGGTCCAGCGATAGTATTAGTAATAATATGGTTGCGTCACTTCAAAAATAAAAGGCAAGACATAAACCTATGTTCAAGAGACAATGCATGAAATACAATTAACATTTTTGAAGACCAATATTTAGAAAATGACGTGTTTATAAACAATATTCTTTAATACGTTTTTCGTTTGCTTATTGTTCAAAAGGGGAATGGAAAATTAATATGTGAAAGGCGGTCATTAATAACCCACCTGCTCACTAAACCTTGTACCCTTGGAGTGTGTTCTGACAGACGTCAGGTACGAATGTTTGTTTACGTGCGAGATTACACGCACCCATGTCTGGTTGGGTGGTTGCTTAATTTGCTGTTGATAAGGCATTGGATGAAGGGTTTGGAAAAAGACATTACCTTTCTGTTCATTGTATTATCTCACTTGTCTTTAACGAATAGAAATATCGAATTGTGCGGTGGTTTAGTGGGGTGATGAACGTTTGATGTCTTGAGAGAGCGTGTAAATATCGAAGTTAATTTAGAGTAGCCTCCCCTACACCGCATCATCGAACACTGTCATTTTTTTCTGCAGCTAACACAAGGAAAATATTTTCCCATCTGCCCCACAAAACATTTGACAACGTACTCTGACTTGTACTTTTAACATGTGCCTATTGTATATGTGCAGCGCCACTAATCACCCGTGATGGATATTAGGCGCAATATAAATTCGTTATTATTAAACATCCATAAGAAGCAAATGCGCGTGAGATTTGTGAATTGCGTGTAATAACGGATGTGTAGTTTCAGATTAGGTTCAGTTAATAGACAGTTGTTTGTTGTTATTCGACGCCGCACAGCAATATTCAAGCTATATGATGGCGGTCTGTAATAATTGAATCTGGACCAGACAATGCATACGGAACCACTGGCCGGGGAACAAATAAACCGCATTTGAGCAGATACCCACTGGTACCTGGATAAGTGCTTAATAATAATAATAATAATACTAATAATAACATATTGTGATGATTGTGATTGACACAAAGAGCATCAGTGGGATACGATGACACTTTTTTTTTATAGTAAAGTACAGATTCTCGTACTTTTTGGGGTTGAGTCCCGCCTAGGATTCGAACCCACACTGCCAGAGTGAGCACCTAATCGCTAGCACACAAATTCAGGGATATAACCCACTCAGCCACCGAGGCTTCCACAAAAATGAAAGTCCGACAACTGGTAGTCTAGATCACGTACTTGGTGTACCCCCCAGACAAGAGTAAAATGGCACCGCTTCCATTGTCGAAAGCTCTGAACTCTGAATACCTTTTACAAAGTGGTCAATCGCAGCTTGTTTGACAATGTGTGTTTTCCCTTACAGACTGCGGTCCAGATCAAGGCATAAAGGTAAATCCTCAAACTATTTCATCCGGTACCTGGGGATTGCAGGTAAGATGTTTGTCTGTTTGTGTGTTGTTTAACGCTGTACTCGGCAATATTCCAGCTATATGACAGATTGTCTGATCCAGACTCAATTATTTACAGACCGCCGTCATATACTGAAATATTGAGTGCAGCGTTAAACAAAAAACAAACAAAGTTATTGTACCGAGATACATAGGAACTTCTATTGCAGATTCGGGGCGGTCAGGTAGCCTGGTGGTTATAGCGTTAGCTCGTCACGCCGAAGACCCGGGTTCGATTCCCGACATAGGTACAATGTGTGAAGCCCATTTCTGGTGTCCGCCGCCGTGATATTGCTGGAATATTGCTAAAAGCGGCGTAAAACCATACTCACTCACTCACTCACTCTATTGCAGATTCTGATGACTGAGAACGTTGCCTTCGGGATCACCTTTAATCCTCAACACTTGGAGAACGAGGAGAACGTGACGTCATGCATACCTTACAAAGGACACTGTGCCAACTCAGGTGCGTGCCTTGTATTTAGTGGGAATAGGGATCATAACGAAGTAAAACTCCATTCATTCTCTGGCTCACTCACCTCTGTTTCAATTCTTGATTTTTGGATTGCCGAAGTAAACAGTTTCTTTAAAGCTTCTTCCAGTCTTTTTATTATATGATATTTTTACATTGTGCATATTTATGCAACAGTAATTAAAGGTACATATTCAGATACATTTGGGATTTAGTTCCGACATGAATTGATTTGGTTGTTGATAAATCCATCTATTAGGAAGATGGACAATGAAGATCCGGGGAAGAATAGGTCTTCAGCAACCCGTGCTTGCTTGTCGTAAGAGGCAACTAACCGGATCGTGTGGTCATCCTCGCTGACTTGGTTGATGCAGGTCATTGATCCCAATTGCTTGGACCAATGCTCATGATGTCAGTCACTGGATTGTCTGGTCCAGACTCGATTATTTACAGACCGCCGTCATATAGCTGGAATATTGCTGAATGCGGCGTTAAACAACAAACAAACAAAAGTATTTGGTGGGTGATTTTGACGTCTCACAAGAGTAATTGTGTTCAACTCCGTACACAGATTTGTATTCATAATTACTTGCTTTGAATCAGTAAATTATACAGTTACCATTAACTTAGATTACATTTGTTGGACGCAAGTTGCACTTTACCTATACAATCACCATCATCACTACCACTGCCTGCCTATCTGAGGTAAGGTGAAATGGGGTTTAATGTCCTGATTATTCCTCTTAAAAAGCCGCGTGCGTGCGTACATGCCTGCGTGCTTGCGTGGAACAGTCAGGATTTGTGCCGTTTTTTCTACTGCTAGCCAACTGAGATGCCATTTGAGCAGATACTTGTATCTGGATAAGTGCGGTATCTTATATGCATCGTATAATAATAATATTACTTCTGCAGGTCCCATCACTCCCCTGACGTTGTGCAGACTAATCGACGATGGAAACAGCCATTCCATGTACAACAATTTCTGTCAAGGCATGGAGCTAATGAACGAGGGGAGCAAATTCATGTCATTCTCGACGCACTACCTTTTTGACTGGTCCCAGCTTTATGAAGTCAACAGGCTGTCCTACTTCCCCTACAAGGTCCTCACTAGACTGTACCAAGTCAAACAACCATACGTGCGCACCACCCAGACGCTTATCAACATGCTGAATGGTAAATCTGTTGTCAGATGTTTCAGTGAAAACATTCTCGTTGACGTCAGGACTAGAAGACAGAAACTATTACCGTATTGGTTCGTTGACAGGTATACGAACTTTAAAGGTGTCGTGACCGACATAGTCTCGGCCAAACAAGCACTTACAGGAAGTTGGACGTGTCCGGAAGTACCAATTTCACCGTCGCCATTTTGTTTGTCTGTGACCGTGTTGGAGAATGAAACGGACTTAAACAAGTTTCTGTACAAAGACGCGTTTATGAGATATAGTTTTGAGTGTGTTGATTTTGCCTGCAGGCAGAAACGTTTCCCCTATCTTGGGGAAACGTTGTCCGAACTCAACGTTTCGGAATTATCCGTATGCCACCATGGTGATGCACGGGTAGGTGATTGTCTGACAGTGTTGTGCTGGCAAAGGGAACAGGCTGATGTTCTGTATTGTGTTATCAGGAAAAATGCTAGTATTATTTTTACATGCAAGATGACCTTCGATTTGAGTTCCTGAAGATTAAGTCTGTGTGTTAACCTGCGAAGTCATGAACTCGCATAGTAAACTTGTGAAGGCAATATCACAACAACGTGTGTTTATTAGAAGTGTTGACTTTTATAACATCATTTGTACACAACTCGATTACCACCAGACTGTAATATGTGACGTATATTGTTATTTTAAGCTTGGTATGGGAGTTTGGCTCGGTATGCTAGTCGTTCTTGTGGTATCTCATCTTCTACGTGATTTTTCTGGAACATTGAAAACATGTTCTGAAGCATATTTGTTTTGTTTTCTGAATGGCACAAGGCACATTTGTTTGATTGTTTCCAAGTTATTCAGCTGCTTGATGGGACCAACTATGTTATCTTCTGGTGAGGATTTCGACAAAAAACAGCTTGAGAAAAATAGGACTAGAAAGAATGAAAGTTGCTTAATCTTGGGCTGAAAACAATTATTTTGTAAGAGGTTAACAGGAGTTTTAGTGTATTATGCATAAAGAGTGGGCGAATGAGTATAGTTTCACGCCGCTTTTAGCAATATTCCAGCAATATCATGGCGGGGGACACCAGAAATGGGCTTCACACATTGTACCCATGTCGGGAATCGAACCCGGGTCTTCGGTGTGACGAGCTAACGCTTTAACCACTAGGCTACCCGACCGCTCCCCATGCACATAGAACAAATAAAGTGGCGAAGCACTTAAATTTGTATCGAAAGGAAATCATGCGAGTATTGACAGAGGGGAACGCATGGTTCTTTCCCAGTGTGTGTGTGTGTGTGGTCGAATGGAGGTCGAAAAAATAACCCGTCACATACTTACAAAACTCCAAGGATTATTATATGCCTTTGGCCACCTCTCAGCTACCACGAGACTGTAATATATGACATTTTCGCTTGTTTTAAGCGTGGTGTTGGAGCTAGGCTCTGTATGCTAGTCGTTCTTGTCGCATCGCGTCTTTTCGTGTATTTTCTGGAAACATTCTAAACGTGTTCCGAAGCAGATTTGCTTTGTTTTCTGTTTGAGAAGCGAGTCCAGTGTTCCAAATCATAATTGAGACTCAATCTGACCCGCTACAACAATACCCATAATGGTCCACTTTGTTAATAAGCACCATGGTATGTCATATCTGAACAACCGGTTGGTAAGTAACACTATTATACAATCAGCCTGATACTTTATTTATTGAATATTTTTGCTACATCTCAGGATATCTGTGAAATAAATACGTGCGAAATACATCCTTGGATCTTTGTGGTCTTGATTTTTGTTAAGAGTCAACTTGATCTTACGAAGTCACATTACATTGAAAATACAGTAAACAACGGTTATAACGAACTCAAAGGGACCACTACTTTTAGTTCTTTATAACCACAGTTCGTTGTAAGCATATATACAGCAAATGGACGGGCCTCCAAACCAGTTCGTTATATCTGTCAGTTCGTTGTGAGCGTGTTCGGTATAAACGTAGTTTACTGTACTTGAAATATGTGTTTTCCTCCGTGATGCTGCTGGATCATTGCTAATAGCGGGTAATACCCACCCCACCCAGATCCACTCGCATTACTATCAGACCTTAGCTCTCGCTCCCGCTGGGGGCGTCTAAGGCGCCGAGATTCGCTGTGCAGAGTTGCGTCCCTTGGGCACGCCAGAAACCTATGACTGTGGGTTCGAATCCCGGTTCGCCCCAATTATGTTTCTAGGTTTGTCAGCACCATACCCGTGCTCGTGGGTTTCACCGAAGTGGTAAACGTCCGAGACCTGCATCACTTCGGACTTTCCTCCCACATTAAGCTGACACGCCGCGATATAACTGGAATACTGTTAAAAGCGGCGTTAAACCCAACATACTCACTCTCGCTCCCGCTAAACAAAGATCTGAGGACATGCCATTACGGGTCACGCCAGACCGACCTTTCGCGAACTTTGACCGAACAATGACATTAGCAAATCAGAAAGCGGCTTTTTCGTGCTTTACGGTACTAGTTTCAAACCGACGATTAACGCTTCGAAACAAATGCTTGATTAAGATTGGAAAACTGAACAAAAAAACACGTTCTTGAATGGCTGATAGATGGCCTAGATTGTATGAATTCAGTCATCGTTCGGCTTTCAGCTTTAAGAGCCGAATTGTCAATGGCGGTTGGCCATTTTCCCCTCTGTACTAAATATCTGTCAAATCTACAGAAATAATTAACGGATTATTCCCGAAAAGGTCTTGCCCTCATTTATTTTCAGGAAACACCAAAGAAGAATTATCCAATTGACTCTGTACATGACCTTGCAGGGACATCAGAACCTTCGTTTTATACCAGTCGTAGTGTTTGGATAGGTTTTCCGAGAATTAGACACAATTTCTCTCGGTAATCTTTCAGCAAAGCATAACAGTTCTTGTTGATAGTTTTCCAGCTGTATCAGGTTTTGTTTTGCAAGATGGCGACGGTGGGTGTTTGGTCTAACTGGACTGAGCTCTGCCCTGGACGCTTCTTCAGAAGGCCTCGCAGATGAAGCCTCTTGAAGAGTTGCAGTGTTCGGACTTCCACTGATAGCTGTAGATTCGGAAGTGGAGGGCACATTTGCCAGTGTCGAGCACCTGTAACTCATCCCCCCAGTTGGGGTAAACCAGAGATGAACCATCCTCCCAGCCCTGAGCGTACGACAGCCCCATCCAGTAACCATCCTGTGTGTGGCCTGAAAGGAGAAGACGGAGTTTCAACGTAAAACCTGGACCACCCTCCCACCGCACCCCACGTGTTTCAACCGTAACCACCTTGCTACCCCCAACAAATATGGCAATCAAGCTGCTGCAATCTCTTCTTCTTTGTTGTTTTGCGCTGCACTCAGCAATATTTCAGCTATATGACGTCGGTCTGTAAATAATCGAGTCTGTACCAGACAATCCAGTGATTGGCATGATAGACATCGATCCACCCATTTGGAATACGGTGACATGCATCAACCAAGTCAGCGAGCCTGACTTACCGACCCCGTTCTCTTACGACAAGCAGTCGCCTTTTACAGCAAGCATGGGTTTCTTAAGACCTATTCTATCCCGGATTTTCACCGGTCCAATCTGCTGCAACATATGTTCCGGGTGTTTCGGTCTGACCTCGAAACATACGAGTACATACATACTCTGCCTCTCATTATAGGTGCAGTTGGGTAACCCAGTGATTAAATGGTTGGTAATTCACTGGTACAATGTATCAAGTCTATTCATGGTGCCCCATTGTTACGATATTAAGTGCGATATTGAGCTTGCGTGCTAAAGGTCGGTTGGTTGGTTGTTTGGTTGGTTGGTTTGTTGTTTAACGCCGCACTCAGCAATATTCCAGCTATATGACGGCGGTCTGTAAATAATCGAGCCTGGACCAGACAATCCAGTGATTAATATCATGAGCATCGATCCACGCAATTCTAAAGGAGAGACCGTGTCGTCAGTTTCATATGTACCATATTGTCACGTATTTGTTTCAGATGAACAAATAACTAACTTTAGCAAGTGTTTGTGACGGATGCCACCGGTGGGGCAGGTTACGTCACCTTTTCGCGAACACCTGGTATCATCACTATTTGATAGTTGTTAGTAAATACAGGCTCATGGAATAGTCGTACTCAGCTATTTGAATGGATTTTTTATGAATACTTTGTAGCTTACATTTCAATTTGTAATGTGTAAAATTCATAGCCAAAATTACCAACAACACGGACCTGATTATGGCTGTACCCGCGTCCACGTGCAGGTAACCGCGTTGCCAATAGTTACCCCACCAAAAACGCCAGTTATTTCTGGGGCTGTTACGGGAGGTGAAATGGGGTTTAACGTCGCATTCAAGATTATTGCATTTATACAGCGACGTGCGTGTGTGACTGCTTGTACTAGTTAAATAGTGCTAGACCATGGATATACCATGCCCCAGTTTATCATGGATACCCAACTCCGACACATTACACTGACTCTGAGCCAACCAGTCCATGTTTCATCACCTTTATGCCGAGTGCCAGGCAGAACATCTTCCCGAGGCAAGAGAATTAACTGACTTTAAAAGTCTAGTTTCAACCCTTGCCGCACTAGGCTAGAACTCTTGGGCTCGATCGTAGCGCCACCAGTGGCTATTAAGAGTTATGCCCCTTCTAAGCCTCTCCTATGGACCAATCAGATTCCACCTCTCGTATCACTTGCATTTGCTCCAAACATAATGGTGGCGCCCAGTCAAGACGATCTGATCGATAATCAAGATCTATATTGTCCTAAAACGGATCTTACATCGCGAAGTGCATCAAATCACATGAGCACCTTGATTAAGATTTGAAAAATATCTGTTGACACCGAGTTGGCGGTGCACATGCTTTGCAAATCCTGCAATCGACCGAAATCTGCACGACAGTTTACGAACCGGATTTCGATTTCACTGCGCGATTTTGATTGGACTATGCATTGACTCGTTAGTCGAGACAAAATCTAACTCCGTAATACCAGCCTAGTTCGGCAAGGGTGGAAACTGGACTTTTTATAGTTAGTTAACTCTCTTGCCTTGAGAAGATGCAGGCAGAATAACACGAGGTAGCATTTTGTTATCTGTTTTGTTATGACACTAACCGCACTTGGACAGAATCTCTATCTACAAGACCACGGAGGCGGTCTTCAGGAGCTGATTGATTGTTGGTCAGGACAATATTCCTTGCTTTATTTTATCAACAGAAACAACTTTGCTTTTTTACAATAATGTATTAATAGGGATCAGTATATATCAATCCCACCATATAGCTGAAATATGGCTAAGTGCGGCGTTAAACAACAAAAAAACAAAATCAAAATTGTAGCAGGGCGTGAAGTCATCACACAGCTAACATATTTACGATGTCAGCATGTGGACATGGCGTCTGACCTCGCATTAGAAGGTCCTTGGTTCGAATCTCATTAAGGGATTCGGGTCTTTTTATGGCCCCAACATGTGTCTATATATTTCCAGAACAGAGTGCGAAATCAACTCCGCCAGAAGCGCAAGTTATCTATTCAATATGAGTCAAGCCGTTGTGACTGACATTCAAGAGAAATGACCGCATGTTACACACGGATACAGATTTGTTATTTCGAGAGGGGAGTCATGTAATTTTGTTGAAAACATGTCACCAAATGCGTTATAATGTTGTATTCCGTTTACCCCATACCCGTATTAAACCCAATCACGTATAAAACTTGCGAATAAAATGGGTTTGGTATGCTTCAAAAAGGGGGTCGACGCACTGGATACGCGGATGTATAATATACTGAGTCAAATTAAAAACTTCACAATTTTAAAAGTAATCCCATATATGATATACAACGGAAAAATGTATCAGAGAAGGTAATTTTTAATCATTAATGTCCAAAGAAGGATTTTAATTAACGGTGGTAACCATAATTTGTTCCAAGCACCTACGGTATTCGGTAATAACATCAACAGTTTAAATCATAAGTCCCAAGCACGAGAATCTGTTGGCACACAAGTTCAGTAGCGTGTATGGCCACCATGTGCGTTGACAACTCTCCACACAACGCCTCCGCATGGACCTTGTGATGCTTGTGAACACATGATTGGGAAGACGACGCCATTGTTGCTGCAAAATGGTGCCAAGATCTTGCAAATTCTGTGGTTGGTTCTGGAGAGTGCGCAGACTTCTGCCAAGAGCATCCCAGACGTGTTCGATGGGATTGAGGTCGGGAGACCTTGACGGCCAGTCCATGACGTTGACTCCCGCATTCTGAAGGAAATTCCTTGTCAAAATTGCTGTGTGGGGTCTGTCATTGTCGTGTTGGAAGATCAAACCAGGTCCATGTGCTGCCATAAAAGGCAGAAGTTCTGGTGCCAGTATCTGGTCGCGGTAAGCAGCAGCGTTGAGGTTGCCACGGACGACAAGAAGCCTGGAACGTGCATTGCCACAGAAAGCACCCCACACCATGACACTTCCGCCTCGAAATCTGTCAACTTCCTGTACACAACACTGGGCGTAACGTTCATGACGGCGCCTCCACACCCTAGCCCTACCATCAGCAAATCGAAGATAAAATCGGGATTCATCACTGAAGACGACTTGATTCCAATTCCTCTGAGTCCATCGTAAGTGTCGCTGTGCCCACAATTGACGGTTTCGAACAGTTTGCGCACTCAGTCTACCCCTAAACAGTTCATTTCTGGTTGATGTAGCCGTCAAAAATCGGTTACGGAGGATACGTAAGACAATCTGACGATCCTCTGCATGTGACGTCACACGTGGTCGACCTGGCCGAGGGCGATCAGCGGTGATACCCGTTTGCTGTAGACGCGTCTGTAAATCATAAACAGTCCGTCGACTACAACCCATCGTCCTTGCGACTTCAGCTACGGACGTTCCCGTCTGCAACATGCCGATGGCACGTTCACGTTGCACATTTGAAAGGCGTGGCATGACAAATGGCCGTAGAGACTTTTGTTTTCTTGTGTTTTCCTTTTTTGTTAATGACTGCTGACATGTATGGCTGAAAACACGTGCGGTATTATGACCACGTGACCAGTTGCACGTGAAAAAACACTTTTGCCACTATAGTGCTGTGCACATGATTTTGATCGATTCACCTGCACAAAAACGGGTGTTATCTGAAGACAATACGTGGCCATTACTGTTTAAATACACAATAAGGGCCCATAATGATAACTGGTCAAAATGTTAAAATTTTAGGATTGTGAAGTTTTTAATTTGGTTCAGTATATATTTTGTAGATGTTGATAAAAAAACTCACTTGAATCTGTATTCAGTAAGTTGGCCATAAACCCTGCCTTCACTTCATTATCCAGCACAATGAGCCGATAGCCTGCACCATCACACTGAGACTTGGCTTGGTTCCAGTCCGCGGTGGTGTCGTGAATCTTGAAGCAGAGTCCACTATCTGCATCGTAGGTGAAGCCGTCGCTCTCAGCCGCAGCAGAACAGCTTCCTGAGTTAATATAACAACATGAATTAGGATATTCACAAGGGGGCACGGGAGGCCCAGTCGTCTAAGGCGCTGCGATTCGCTGTGCAGAGTTTCGTCCCTTGGGCACGCCAGAAACCTATAATTGTGGGTTCGAATCCCGGTTCTAGGTATGTTTCTAGGTTTGTCAGCACCGAAGTGGGTTTCACCGAAGTGGTACACGTCTGAGACCTGCATCACATCGGGCTTTTCTCACCCATTAAGCTGACACGCGATATAACTGGAATACTGTTATAAGCGGCGTTAAACCCAACTCACTCACTCACTCACTGAAGGACAACTCCTAGCACCTTGAATATCTTTTGTGAACACTTACCGCTGGGCGCATTGCTGGACAGATCGTTTCCTAAAACGGAAATAACCACAATTAAGGACAACATTGAAGATAAATTTCATGCATTCGAAGAAGATTTGTCAGCAACATTACGGCTATATGACGACGTTCTGTAAATAAGCTAGTCTGGACCAGACAATCCAGTGATTGACATGAGTATCGATGTACACAATTGGGATCGATGACATGCATCAATCAGTCAGCGAGCCTGACCACCCGATCCCGTTAGTTACCGTTTATGGCAAGCATGGGATGCAGAAGACCTATTATCATCCGAAACTGTCTCCCACAGGAGATATCGCTTGGATGAGATCAAGCGATATCTACGCTGCAGATATCGCTGCAATGAAATTACATCTCAATGGTTTGCAGACCATTGTGACGTCAGTGGTTACCATGACGTCACAATCAAATGACATCACTAATGGGTGCTACTGAAGCTGTTTGCAGTACTTTTTACACTGAAGACACTGCTAATTACTCTCTACAAATTGAAAAAGTTGAAAGAATGATGTTGGATGATAAATAAAATCTCACCCTCGTGTCTTTTGAAATCAAATATATCAACTCTCGTTGATAAAAGTGGCAAAAATCCTCGGCACGCCTCGGAATTTTTCCACTTTTATCAACTCGTGTTGATATATTTGATATCAAAAGCCACTCGGGTGAGATTCTCTATTTCTACCCCAACATATGTATGTTCTAATTAGCCAGTGGATTTAAAGCGCTCCCAAAGCACTATCAATACTTACAATTACTGTAAGCGCGGTCCCAACTGGATAAACATTCTTTTATACTCGTTAAGTCACTATTTGATAAATTTTAGTGATGAGGAAGTATTCAGAATCCATTTTCTATTCACTTGAAATGAGAGTAACTGAAAGGTAATGCTTCAGGCGTAGCCATCCGTGATGCATTGTTAATGTACATTACTACCATAACAAGACTTATTGACTGAAAGTCGCAATTAACATTCAACGTAATTGGCTATTCTGGAATTGGCTTCATCGAGCAGTGTTATCCACACAATGTGCCTGTGGAAATCTGTCCAGGATGACCTTACATACAAAATTCAATTAACCATTCTTGTCTGTATCCGGTTTGTTGTTAACACAGGCAACACTTATCTTGACATTCAACTATGTCAGCCATTTAATTGCCAGCACACATATTGGTGTGATGATCACATTTTGACAAAAGCATCAAAGCGTCCCAAATCATTAAATTTTATGCAAATATTTGATAATATTTTCAAGAACAATCAAGACAGTGCTGAAACAACATGCTTCAGATCTTAAAACAGCTTCAAATATAATTGATAATTGTCGACCGTCTTCCCGAGGCAAGGTAGTTAACTGACTATAAAAGTCCAGTGGAAGCAATGATTCGAGTGAGCGAGCGACTTAGATTTAACGCGCTTTTAATAGTATTTCAGTTATATCACGGCGTGTCAGCTTAATGTGGGAGGAGAGCCCGAATTGATGCAGTTCCCTGACGTTTACCACTTTGGTGAAACCCACGAGCACGGGTGTGGTGCTGACAAACCTTGAAACATAAACGGGGCGAACCTGGATTCGATCACAGGTTTCTGGCGTTCCCAAGGGGCGCAACTCTGCACAGCGATTAATTTAAGATTGAAATGAATTTATCCTTTGGACGTGGTATGGTTTTAGTGGAGAAATGAACTCCGCGATGTGTCACTGACACAATATACAATGCTGTTTTTACGCCGTAGTCCGCAACAGTTCAAAGCAACCAGTATCGTCGGGTCACAGGTTCCCGACATCATACGTTTTCGGACGGCCATGTTTATCGGGATTACTCGCGCTATAACAAGGGGTGTGGCGTCACACAGACATTGTAAATACTCAGATGATGGCCTGTTTTAAAGATGAAGTCGTCTTTTATAAGTGAGGGGGATGTTTTACAGTCGTTCTTGTGATTAACAGGAATACTACGAATGGTTATTAAGGGTCCGAAAACCCAGGGACAGGGATACAGGGATATACTAGTATAGTTGAATCTTGGGAATGGGATCGACTAACGGGATCGGATGCTCAGGTTCGCTGACTTGGTCGATGCATGTCATATACCAAGTGCGTGGATCGATGCTCATGATATTAATCACTGGATTGTCTGGTCCAGACTCGATAATGTACAGATCGCCGCCATATAGCTGGAATTTTACTGAGAGCGACAAACAAGCATATAAATGGCGCTCTGGGACACACTAGATACCCCGGGTGGGGGGTGGGGTGTGTGTGTGCGGTTGTGTGTGTGTGTGTGTGTGGGGGGGGGGGGGGGGGGGGGGGGGTGCACGGGTGGCCCAGTTGTCTAAGGCGTCGCGATTCGCTGTGCAGAGCTGCGTCCCTTGGGCACGCCAGAAACCTATGATTGCGGGTTCCAGTCCCGGTTCGCCCCGATTATGTTTCTAGGGTTGAAAGACTACCAGTTGTCAGACTTTCTTTTTTGTGGAAGTCTCGGTGGGTGAGATCGCTGACTTTGTGTGCTGGCGATCAGGTCCCCCACTCTGGCAGAGTGTGTTCGAATCCCTGTGGGACTCAACCCCCAAAAGTACTAGAATCTGTACTTAAATAAGAAAGTGTTATCCCAAATATGACATTTGTTACATTTGGCCACTTTCTAAATGGCATTGTGTCTACATCCTGCCCATAGTTCACAAAAGTACCCAACCTTGAGTGCTATAATATAATGAAAACAGCGTTTATTGTGCGTTTTGTAGTGCAGTAGTTGTTTGTTTAGTATTACATTGACCCACATAAGAGGAAGTGTTCCTTGCTAAAAATACATTAAGAGAAGGCGTTATTTAAAACTGCAAAACACGGTCAACATGAGGAAACATGGGAGGGATGTTTTTTAAAGAAAAAACTTGTTATATAACCACAATTGAAAACAATGTTTATCCTACGTTTTGAAAATATAAAAACACATTCCTCTTCCATATTGAGTCGATTGTACGATTCCGACCATATGTGTGCACGAATCACTATCAAATAGTGATCATACCAGGTGCTCGCGAAATGGGGAACGTATTCCGTCCCACCGGTGGCACCCATCACAAACACATGCAAAGTCAAGTCAATTGTTCATCTGAAAAACATACAGTACAAGTCAAAATAGAGAATTGCATTGGACATTATTTTTGCATCTTCCCGAAGCAAGAGAGTTAACTGACTTTAAAAGTCCAGTTTCCACCCTTGCCGAACTTGGCTGGAATTACTGGGCTCGATCGTAGCGCCACCAGGGGCTATTACCAGTTATGTCCCCTCTTAGCCTCTCCTTATGGACCAATGAGACTCCACCTCTCGTAATACTTGCGTTTGCTTCATCCAAAATGGTGGCGCCCAGTCAGGGCGATCTGATCGATAATCAAGATCTATATTGTGATAAAACGGGTCTTACATCGCGAAATGCATGAAATCACGTGAGCACCTTGATTAAAAACATGAAAAAAATTGGAAAATATCTGCTGACATCGAGTTGGCGATGCACATGCTTTGCAAATCCTGCAATCGACGTAAATCTGCACACGACAGTTTACGAACCGAATTTCGATTTCGGTGCGCGATTTTGATTGGACTATGCATAGACTCGTTAGTCCAGCCAAAACTCCATAATACCAGCCTAGTTCGGCAAGGGTGGAAACTGGACTTTTATAGTCAGTTAACTCACTTGCCTCGGGAAGATGTACTTTTGTCACTGATGCGTCAATTTGGAAATGTCCTCCACACGTCTACCATAACACTTTTTGAAAGCTTTACTGATGCCTTTAATGTAACCTTGATCAAACAAGTCCATAATTGATTTTGTGGTAGCACCATATCTGAAATACATTTTTCAACCTCTTTGATTGTTTTATATTAATGTTAACATACGACTTGATTAAGACAGACACACAGTTTCATACCCACCTCATTCACTGTAATGCAAGCAAACTTTATATAACATACGTACCTTCTGAAATGGTAAAATATTTAGATCCAGGGTCGCTGTTGGACCCCGCGTTGGTGGAAAACGTTTCGTTGAGTATATGACACTCGTACGTCAGATCGTTGTGGAAGAAGGAGTGGCATTGCCTGGCCAGACAGTAACTGGAACACATGGTCTTCGTGCTCGCATAGTACACAGCCAGGACACCTTCGTCTTTAAGAAGGTCATCAAAATCCCTTTTCCGGTCGTACAGCACGGCCGAAGCGCTGGAACACCGTGAACGGTTTTATTTAATGTCAACGCGAGACTTACACGCGAGGGCAAGGTCAAACCGAATCTCTACGTAGCCTGGTCATTTTCATCAAATGAAGCCAAAAGGTTATCTTAAACATCAGAAAATCGTTGACCGAGGGATCATAAGACATTTATAGTGTACTATTTTCTTCTTTTTGAGAACCTACTGGGTAGATGCTATAAAACACCTTTTAAGTTTGCATTGCTCAACAAGTTATTCGGTCTTATTCCATGACTTGCTGTTCACCGGTTACCGTAAAACATGGAACCAGAAAACTCCATCGAAGCGTTGAGCTATATTTTAAAAAGTTTTATGCCATCATCTTTTTTTTTATTATAATTAAAGATAAAATGTTTCACTATCGTCTACAAAATCAAAAGGCCTCGATAACTGAAACTTCAAATAAACTACGATTGCTTTTAGCAGTTTTTAGTTCAATGCAACCCATTTCACAATCTAATTCAGACGCAAACGTTTGCAAACAAGTTTGTTCATTTATATAACATTTTCGCCTCCACCGAAATAACCTCGCCAAAATGGGACAACATGCTTTTTGATTACCATTAAAAGTGTGTTTAATTTGCTTAAAGGGCAAGTTCACACGGAAATGAACATATTTTTCTTGTACTTTTTCCACATTAATAGTGTTAACCTAGAAGTGTCATAGACAAAAATATAAAAATATCACAATTAATTAACATATTTTTCGCATTAAAACGATTTATATTTTTCACATTTATCAAGTGTTCTATTTCCACAACAAAAACACCATGGCTTATGCCCCTTGCAATATGACGTCATTGGTGCCAATTGATAAACATTATGACGTCATCATGCTTTGTTAGAGCCGCTTCACGTGGTGTAGGTACAGGTGTGTGGTTCTAGCGTCTCAGATGCCAGCCAGCATAGTGTTATGCTGAGTCACCACTGCGTCGGAATGTGTAGAAAAAGATAGAAAGTGATTTTTGCGTGTACACTTTAAAACACTGACAGGAAAATATCATTTTAAAACCATTGGAATCTATCATTGGTGTGGTAGGTTTTGAAATAGCTCAGTCTTTTAATTGATAAAGGATTGAACCAGAAAAAAGCGTTGTATATAAGCAAATGCTATTTTATTTCCCTAATATATACATTCCTGGTTACTGAAACTAGGGATTTCGTACGTTGTACTCTTGTCATACGCACATCCTTATGCAGTTATAACTATCTTCAGGAGTAAATAACAAAATATCAATTACCACCCTAATGGTATCAGTTATTGACAATTTTAGTTCTATCAATAAATAAAGCATGTGTTTGGACATAAATTTACTTACATAAAACATGTGATTCAGCGGAAGGTTTGACCCACTAAAACTCACACAGAACATTGTGTTTTGTTTGACATGCATGACTTAGAAGTTGGTAGATGACACAGTAGACACAATTCATGGATAACAACTTCTTAAATTACTGTAAAGGCGGTTTAAGCTTGACAACGGTACAAGGATCTATACCGAAACGTCGCCTTTACAGTAATTAGAGGAGTTGTTCTCCATGAATTGTGTCTACTTTGTCACTGTTTTGGTGTATGATATTTCAATGTAAATAACAGGCACCAAATATGATGTTAAATGAATACTAGTTATCTACTTTATTTTACATCCCTGTGTCACATTCCTGGTTCCAACACCATGGAGACTTATTTTATACAAGTTATTATTGGAAAGAACAAATCATAACAGCTTTACCTGAAAATCCACGCAGCCCACAACAGCAATAGTTGTCTCATGTCCGCGGTGTTCAGACGGTGACGGGGACTCCACGAGTGTCGATCACTTAGTGATTGTATCTCTTCCGAGGCTCCTGGGCAGGCTTTCGATTTCTCCTTGTTCTCGTGTACAAAATGATCGATATTAAACCAACCCAGAACACTTTTTTCATTTACCCACTACAGCGAAGCATGTCGATTATTTATCTCTTGGCTCAACGTAGGAATGAAGTACAAAAGAGCCATTCACCATGCGGAATGTGTGTAGAAATATTAAGCGACTATGAACTTGCAGCGCAGAGTTGCGTTACTTGGTCGTGTCAGGATCGGCTAGTCGTAGGTTCGAATCTTAGTCTCCCCTCGATAGCGATCTCTGGCTTGGAAGTACTATGTTCAAAGTGGAGACTAGGTCAACCAGTACATGCATACTTTTAAGGCTTTCCAAAGCGTAACATTTAGTTTCTGTAACAGGCTCTAACGTATAACGTAGGTAAAAACACAAGGTCACACAAGGTTGCCTGTATGTTGATTCATGTTGCCTGTATGCTGCTTTATGTTGCCTGTATGCTGGTTTATGTTGCCTGTATGCTGCTTTATGTTGCCTGTATGCTGCTTTATGTTGCCTGTATGCTGCTTTATGTTGCCTGTATGCTGCTTTATGTTGCCTGTATGCTGCTTTATGTTGCCTGTATGCTGGTTTTTGTTGCCTGCATGTTGCTTTATGTTGCCTGTGTTTTGCTGCATGTTGCTTTATGTTGCCTGATTGTTGCTTCATGTTGCTTCATGTTGCTTTATGTTGCCTGAATGTTGCTTGATGTTGCCCGTATGCTGCTTTATGTTGCCTTATGCTGCTTTATGCTTTATGTTCATTATGTCGCTATATGTTGCCCGTATGTTGTTTTATGTGGCCTACATGTTGCCTGTAAGTTAATACATGTTGCCTGTATGCTGGTAAATGTTGCCTGTATACTGCAATATATTGCTATATGATGTTGCATGTTGTCTGTATGTTGCCGGTATGTTGCTGACTGTTGCCTGCATGTTACTATGTGTTGCAGTATGGTGTCGTATGCTGCTATTTGTTGTAAGATATCTTGCCTTTATGTTGCCTGTATGTTGTCTGTATGTTGTCTGTATGTTGCCTGTATGTTGTCTGTATGTTTTCTGTATCTTGCCTTTATGTTGCCTGTATGTTGTCTGTATGTTGTCTGTATGTTGTCTGTTTGTTGTCTATATGTTGTCTGTTTGTTGTCTGTATGTTGCCTGTATGTTGTCTGTATGTTGTCCGTATGTTGCCCTTATGTTGTCTGTATGTTGCCTGTATGTTGTCTGTATGTTGTCTGTTTGTTGTCTGTATGTTGCCTGTATGTTTTGTGTATGTTGTCTGTATGTTGTCTGTATGTTGCCTGTATGTTGTCTGTATGTTGTCTGTATGTTGCCTGTATGTTGCCTGTATGTTGCCTGTATGTTGCCTGCAAGTTGCCTGTTTGTTGTCTGTATGTTGCCTGTATGTTGTCTTATGTTGTCTGCATGTTGTCTGTATGTTGTCTGTATGTTGTCTGTATGTTGCCTTTATGTTGTCTGTTTGTTGTCTGTATGTTGCCTGTATGTTGCCTGTATGTTGCCTGTATGTTGCCTGCATGTTGTCTTATGTTGTCTGTATGTTGTCTGTATGTTGTCTGTATGTTGTTGTATGTTGCCTTTATGTTGTCTGTTTGTTGTCTGTTTGTTGTCTGTATGTTGTCTGTATGTTGCCAGTATGTTGCCTATATATTGCCTGTTTGCTGTCTGTATGTTGTCTGTATGTTGCCTGTATGTTGTCTGTATGTTGTCTGTATGTTGCCTGTATGTTGCGTATATAATGCCTGTTTGCTGTCTGTATGTTGCCTGTATGTTGCCTGTATGTTGTCTGTATGTTGTCTGTATGTTGCCTGTATGTTGCCTGTATGTTGCCTGTATGTTGCCTGCAAGTTGCCTGTTTGTTGTCTGTATGTTGTCTGTATGTTGTCTGTATGTTGCCTGTATGTTGTCTGTATGTTGTCTGTATTTTGTCTGTTTGTTGTCTGTATGTTGCCTGTATGTTGTCTTATGTTGCCTGTATGTTGCCTGTATGTTTCTGTATGTTGTCTGTATGTTGCCTGTTTGTTACCTGTATGTTGTCTGTATGTTGCCTGTATGTTGCCTGTATGTTGCCTGTTTGTTGTCTGTATGTTGCCTGTATGTTGTCTGTATGTTGTCTGTATGTTGTCTGTTTGTTGTCTGTATGTTGCCTGTATGTTGTCTTATGTTGCCTGTATGTTGCCTGTATGTTTTCTGTATGTTGTCTGTATATTGCCTGTATGTTTTCTGTATGTTGTCTGTATATTGCCTGTATGTTGCCTGTATGTTGTCTGTATGTTGCCTGTATGTTGCCTGTATGTTGCCTGCATGTTGCCTGCATGTTGCCTGTATGTTGTCTGTTTGTTGTTTGTATGTTGCCTGTATGTTGCCTGTATGTTGTCTGTATATTGCCTGTATGTTGCCTGTATGTTGCCCGTATGTTGTCTGTATGTTGACTGTATGTTGCCTGTTTGTTGTCTGTATGTTGTCTGTATGTTGTCTGTATGTTGCCTGTATGTTGCCTGCAAGTTGCCTGTATGTTGTCTGTATGTTGCCTGTATGTTGCCCGTTTGTTGCCTGTATGTTGCCTGTATGTTGTCTGTATGTTGCCTGTATGTTGCCCTATGTTTCCTGTATGGTGCCTGTATGTTGTCTGTATGTTGTCTGTATGTTGCGTCATAATGCCCGTATGTTGTCTGTATGTTGCCTGTATGTTGCCTGTATGTTGCCTGTATGTTGTCTGTATGTATGCCTGTATGTTGCCTGCATGTTGCATGTATGTTGTCTGTATGTTGTCTGTATGTTGACTGTATGTTGTCTGTATGTTGCCTGTATGTTGCCTATATGTTGCCTGCAAGTTACCTGTATGTTGCCTGCAAGTTGCCTGTATGTTGTCTGTATGTTGCCTGTATGTTGTTTGTATGTTGCCTGTACGTTGCCTGTATGTTGCCTGTATGTTGCCTGTATGTTGTCTGTATGTTGCCTGCATGTTGCCTGTATGTTGCCTGTACGTTGCCTGTACGTTGCCTGTATGTTGCCTGAATGTTGCCTGTATGCTGCCTGTACGTTGCCTGTATGTTGCCTGTATGTTGCCTGTATGTTGCCTGCATGTTGTCTGTACGTTGCCTGTATGTTGTCTGTATGTTGCCTGTATGTTGTCTGTATGTTGCCTGTATGTTGTCTGTATGTTGTTTCTATATTGCCTGTATGTTGTCTGTATGTTGTCTGTATATTGCCTGTATGTTGCCAGCATGTTGTCCGTATGTTGTCTGTATGTTGCCTGTATGTTGCCAGCATGTTGTCCGTATGTTGTCTCTATATTGCCTGTATGTTGCCAGCATGTTGTCCGTATGTTGTCTCTATATTGCCTGTATGTTGCCAGCATGTTGCCTGTATGTTGTCTGTATTTTGCCTGTATGTTGCCAGCATGTTGTCCGTATGTTGTCTGTATATTGTCTGTATGTTGCCAGCATGTTGTCCGTATGTTGTCTGTATATTGCCTTTATGTTGCCAGCATGTTGTCCGTATGTTGTCTGTATATTGTCTGCATGTTGTCAGCATGTTGTCCGTATGTTGTCTGTATATTGCCTGTATGTTGCCTGTATGTTGTCCGTATGTTGTCTGTATATTGCCTGTATGTTGCCAGCATGTTGTTCGTATGTTGTCTGTATATTGCCTGTATGTTGTCTTATGTTGCCCGTATGTTGTCTGTATGTTGCCTGTATGTTGCCAGCATGTTGCCTGTAAGTTGTCCCCATGTTTCATGCATGTTGCTTGTATCTTGTCACTATTCTGCTTGTATCATGGCTTTGCTTCAGAAGCCAGTACAAATCAGTAAGAGATCAATTGAATTGAAATTAATTTTCCAAATGGAAACGGAAACGATTTAAAACAAATGACTTTAGATTAATGTAAATGCCGCTTTTAACAAATTAATAATCATATAGTTGCGTTGGTTCCAAGAATTTGCCTGACGCTAGCTAGGTCGGACTCAAACCTGCGACACATATCTGGAAGACTAGACAATACACTAATATGCAATATCACCACTGCTGGTGGGAGTAAAGTTCTAAACTGAGAATTCACTATACTTATAATCATATAACGAATGTCTCACTATTACTGACCGAGTGAGTGAGTGAGGTTTTACGCGGCTTTTAGCAATATTCCAGCAATATCACGGCGGGGGACACCAGAAATGGGCTTCACACATTGTACCCATGTCGGGAATCGAACCCGGGTCTTCGGCGTGACGAGCTAACGCTTTAACCACTAGGCTTCCCGACCGCCCCCTATTACTGACCGAAGGGTGGCGACTTTAAGCTATATATGCAGTAAGGCCTGTCAGTAGAATGTAGGACGGCAGTCTGAAATAATCTGACCAAGACCAGTGGTCGATAGCATGAGGTACGTTCAACACTGTCGGGGTAGGGAGACACACTACCCACCTGGTCACATATTGTAATCAAGCGAACATTGTTTTATTCTATTCTACCCTGGATACCAACGCGTAAATATTGAACACAATCCCTATGGATACACCGAAACAAATCTGCCTGTAGCTTGCATTTTTATTTTTACGTCAAACAATGTTCTTTGATATTATATATACATGTATTTACATTTACATAATACATATTATATATACACTTTCTTGATATTGATCTAAATACAGCGCAGATTAGATTGTAGTAACTCAAATATTCATATTAAGAATTCAAACGTCGATTGTTGATGTAAAATATATTTTTTGTTAATTGTCCACATACTCTTTAAAACCCCCGATTCATTTCAGGATTATAAACATTAAAGTGGCCGAAGCCGTCAAAGGTTTCTTACGCTATCAACTACACTGACGAGAAAAAGACACTGTACAAAATCATATTTTATAGAATTTCGCTTACAACACGAATGTTCCCAAATCATGTAAAATAATTGTTGAACAGACACGGTTGTAACTTTTACAACACAATTACAACGATGGGAGAACAGGAACTGTAAGAGAGTAATGCTTTCTGATGAAAGCAGGTTCCAGCTCTTCAGAAGATATGTGTGAGAACGAGTGAGTGGGTGAGTTGGGTTTAA